TCTAAAATGAATGTATATGTTGCTCTTAAAAATATGAAATGTCATATGAGATAATAAAATATGATGTGAACCAAAATGAGACATAAAAGTTATTATGTCAAAAATGTTAGTACATGAGAAAAAGATTCGACATATAATATCATATTAATAAATGATTTAATTAAATTAAGAGTAATAAGTAATAAAATACAATTAAAAAAATTATATAATGATAAGGAAAATAAATTTGTAATACGAAATTAAAAAAAATAAGTTTAATGATATATTTATACAATATTCATTAAAAAATTAAAAAAGGAATTATAATTAAATAATTTATATAAGATAATTTAATTAAAAAAATAAATTAATTAAAATTAATAATATATATATATAAATATATTAATAAATTTAAATAAAATCAATACACATATATATAAATAAATTGATTTTAAATAAAAATAATATATGTATGACAAATTAATTAAAAACAAATTAAATATTAAAACAAATGAATTGAAATAATTTTTATTAAATAATATAGTAATAAATATATAAAATAGATATATTAATAAATAAATTAAATATATTAAATATATTAATAAATAAATTAAATATATTAATAAAAAAGAATTACATATATAAATGAAATATATTCATATATAATAAATAAAACAAATATAGAATAAATAAAATAAATTTATGATAAATAAATTAAATATATAATAAATAAATTAAATATATAATAAACTATAAATTATATATAAATAATAAGAAATGCTTTAAATTATCTTATGTATTAAAAATTAATTAAATATAATATTTAATTAATAATATATATTATGAATTTAATAAATAAAGCACCCATTAGTTTATTTAATGATATTAAAAGAAATAAAATATGTAATTAATTAAACTAATCATTCTATAATTTATGTCATTATTATTAATATTTAAATGTTATAATTATATATTATAGTATTATTTAATTATCTTATTAATTAAATATGTGTAATTAGTTACAAAAATATAAATACAATAAATAATTTAATATTATTAATTTAAATAATTATTATAATAAAATAAATAATAATATATATAATAAATTAATTAATTTAATATAATTAAAAAATAAATACTTAAATCAATTAATAAATAAAATAAATAATTATTAATAATAAATAAATAAAATCATATTTAAATATATAATAATTATTAAATAAATAAGAAATAATAAATTAATTAAAATAATTATTATTTATTTATATAAAATATAAATATTATTTAAATAAAATTAGTTTAATATTAATTTATATATATATATTTTTCTTATAATATCTATAGTTAATTGTATATATTATCAAATTGCGTATATTAATATTAAAAAAATACATTCTTAATATAATTACATTAATTTTTATATATTTAATTATTTAGATTTTGATAATGGAATAAAATTAAATAATTTAAAAGATGTTTTATTTTTATAATTTCCGAGTTATTTGTAATTATTTTGTATTATTATATAGAAATATTATAATTAAATTTATATATTTAATCTAAATATATAAGTTCTTAAGAAAATAATTAATTAATAAATTAAATTATTAACTATTTATTTTAAAATGTTATTAAATAATAATATTTTAAAAGAAGTTAAGTAAGTAATAATCTAATAAAAAAATAATTCATTTAATATAGTAAACAATTGACTATATTTTATAATAAATTATCCATTATATAATTTTAATATAAGTAAAGAATTAATAAAAAATTAAAGTAACACATAATAATTAATTAAGTAAACATATTAAATTAGATAATTAACTAATTATATATTGAAATAATTTATATATATATTAAAATAATAATTTTAATTAATATATTTGATAAATTAATTTTAATAAATTATTTATTGTTAATTTAATTTTAATTAAATAAATATATTAATAAATTATAATTTAAGTTAAATATATAAATAAATTCACATTTTAAATAACAAAATAAATAATATTTTAATTTAAATATATATATAAATAAAATTAATTATTTTAAATAATTAAATCATTACATAAAAAATTAATTATTTATAAATATGAAATTAAAGATAATTATTTTACATAATATTAAATAAATTTAATTTAATAAATTTATTTTAATCAAAATAAGTAGTATATAATGATTTAAAAAATACCTTAGAAGATGAATACAAGTCTTCGTATTTACTAACTGTTACATTTAATTAATTTAAACAATTGAGTAATTGCAAATAAAGAACTTTATATAATTGTGTGTTAATGAATTGTTTTAATTAAAATGTTATGTGTGTATAAGAGAAAATTATTGAATGGTTATTACATTAATTAATATCTGAGGGTAATATATATGTATACAATAGCAACAGTTTAGTAGTTGTGTATTAAGTACGATTTATATTCTATTTTGTTTTTGTTCTATATTCTTTTCACTGACATGAATGTAAACAATTTTAGTATAGCCATATCCCTCTATATACTATAGAAAAGTGCATTATAGAATTAGAAAAAAAACTTATCGTATGAGTTGTTAAAACCATTATTAGAACACATAAGCAGAACCCAGACTATTTTTTTTTAATTTTTGATCACATAGAATTGTAAAAAATTATTTAGCAGTTTTCAAATTGAAGTTACAATTGATATATTTATTATTTCTATTGAATATAACAAGATAATTCTGTAATGGTTCAACACTTAACTTTCTTTTGGACATCATCATACTTTTCTGCCCAAACGTTTTTCTTGTCATAATTCATATTTTTGTTAAGAACTATGATTCCCTGTTAAAAATATAATAAATTGTTTGCGTGTTAATGTGTCATTTTCTTCACATATATGTATATTTTATACGTGACACATTACACCTTTACCTATTACATTTTTTAATAAAGTGATATTTTTCAGGCCAAAAGATGTCTATATAGTAATTATGGTGCATCCTTTTGATTTGCCATAAAAAATGTCTACAACCAATCTCATATTTTAAGGTTTCCATTATAAATATTTCTGTTAATGCGCCTACGTTATGTTACAAATGACATATAACATACAAGTCTATGATGCTTAATTTGTTCAGAACTAACAATTGTTGATTTTTATTGCATCACACTTCAAAATCCTAACTATCGTCAAACAAACGTTTCATTTAGAACTGCTATTAATATTAAGTTTCTTATTTATTTAATCGTAAAAAATCTCTTTACTTTTAATGTATATTACATCATTATTAAAAAAAACAATAACATTTGCGATTGTCTTTAAGACCGTGTGGTACATCTATCGCAAATTATAGTTTGTTACTTCTGACCTATAACTGTGATATATATGTCCGATTCTTCAGGTGTAAGACTTTTTTATATCCGAAATATTGTTAAAGAAATGAATTCATAGAGAACGAACATCCTTTTAAGATTAAGGTGTTTTAAATATTGATGTATTTAGCAGTGATTAGTAGAGCATGAGAAAAAAAATGAAAGCAATTTTGGAAAAGGTAGAAAAAACCTTGAACTCATTTTCCATATTTCAACAAGAAATTTGCCATAATTTAGTAGTTTTTATAAAAGGTTCTAAATTTCTAATGAAGTCTTTCTTTTTTCCGCGGCACAATTAAAAATGTGTTATATTATCACTAGTACATATTTTTTTCTTTTCACTAGTAACACTAATTCATTTTAGGTTGATAGTAGAAAAAAATAAGAAATATAATAATGAAATAAATTTACCCAAGCAAGAACACCCTTTATGTTATCTTATTCGAGAGAATATGCAAAGAAGTCCTAACTAAAAACTTAGAGGTGAAGAACAAATGTAAAAATAGTGGTTCTTATGAAGACATTCAAATACGTGTGAAGCATTTTTTAAATAGGAAAAATTAACATTCCGCATCTTTAGGATTTTTAATTTTCATTTTTTTTTTTTATGTAGGATGGAAACCCAATTTTTCCTATTTTATGCTTTTTTTTTTTTTTTGGTGTGTTAGTAGAAGCTTCGATGATCACGTTCCAACAAACTTGTTGCAAAAACAACTTTGTTTATAATTCTTTGTCAATAGGGAAAGTCTTTATTATTATTCTTTTATCTTTGGGGGATGACATTTGAAAATAATAAAGAGGATTCCCATTTCGTGAGACGTGTTCATATAAGTGTGCAAATTTTAATTTAGTTAAAAATGAATTCTAAATGTCTGACCTATCGTTGCTATATATACTAAAGCAAAACATTTTAAGACACATATTACTTCTTTCCAGAAGACAGCCTTTAAAAAAAAAAGAATCGCAATTAAAAACCATTAAAGTTTAAAAAAGGGAAACTGGTTTTACTTTTTCCCTTTGCATTTATTAGGTTATTCTGAACAGATACTTTATTTAAACCAACATCTGCAAAAGAAATTTTTCATTTTCATGTGTCTAAACGGTTTTTCTGTCTTATTTCGCCTTTTGCACATAAATAAGAGTGTAAAAGCTACGTACGTCTATAATTCACAAAAAATAATGATAAAAATAAAAAAGTGGCAGAACATAGTATGCAAAGCACGAAATGGTGGGTTAAGAGTTAAAAAATTCCTTTTCAAGTTTATTGTAAAAAAATGTATATTTTAACATTAAAGGTGTAGGAAAGCATGAAGGAAACGAGAGTATTTTTTCCCTTTTGTATTTATTAGTTTTGTAAAACTTTGATTAATGCAAAATTTAATCCTATGCAAATGTACGTGATATGATGCATACTGTAAGAGCAAAATACACCTATTAACTTGTGCTCCTTAATTATTCAACGATCTTACTATATCCTTAAGACATTGTGCAAATGTCTCGATTTTAGATTCATGAAATTTACTTTCCATGGAAAATTTTTTTGCTATGGGTTCATTCAATGCTTTCGTTGTCTAATATGTAGAAATCCTCTTGCTCTTCAACTATTTTGCTTCCTGCTTCTACGGCTTCATTTCTTCTTAATCTGTTTGAACGTTTTCTTCTTCGGAGCTGTCTATAATGAATAGTTACTTTTGTCATTATATCTCTTATGCGCATCGTGTTTTTCATCCCTTGATCTTATTTTTAGTTCATTGCCATTTTCTAATTTGATAGTATCTACTTCTCCATTTAAGAGCTTCCTAATTGCCCTGGCTGCTTGTTCTGTTTCAGCGAAATCTTGATTGTTCATGTGTTCTTTTCCCATTATAGCATGAACCCACAGGACAAATAATAATGTTATGTAGAGAGTACATGGGGTCGCTAAGAGAAGCTTCATTTTCTTGGAATATTTGGACAACAGGATGTACGACTTAAAAGGTGGAAGAAATTAAATTATGTATTTATTTAAAAAAAGTTTAAAGGACGTTTTCTAAGGTTGAAATGTAGAGAAATTTAACAACTTTGTCTTAAAATTATAAATTGAGAAATGTATTTTACATGACAAAAGAAACAACTTACATTTAAACAAAAAAAAACAGCTGTTAAAAAGGCAGAAATTAGCTAAAACATATGAATCGTTAATACATTTATATATTTTTTTCCAGCTAGCTACTAAATAGCTATTAAGGAGAAATGTTTGAAAGAATTTCTCACCAAGTGTAAAGAAGCTACATATTATGTATATATATAAATATTTTTTTTTTTTTTTTTTTTTGTTGACTAGCCAAGTTCATTAAATAAAAAAAAAATGCTAGCCTTTTGTTTTATTCAGAAAAAGTCTTTCGTTAATGGTTAGATGAATTTTCCGAGTACCATAAAGCGAAGCACTTGAAAAAAAAAGGTAAGTCTTATATGATGTAAAAAAAAGGAGAAATCTTTTAACCATATTTAAAATAAGGGAGTTCCTGATTTATTCCTATTAAATGTAGAAGCATACATCCATCATTTGCATGATTTGTTCTTAATGGGGTTCCAAGCTAAACATAATCTCAACACACGCATGACAGAGGCACAGGTTCATTCTAACATTAGTACTTAAAAAAACATACGTATGACCAGACAACTGAAACCAAACATCAATGGAAAGTATTTATCCCAACGATGTATAAAGTATCCATATATGTGGTAAAAAGATATTTTATTTTCTTCAAATAAGGGAAATAACCTAAATGTGAAAGAAACTTAATCGCGAATTCTGACGTACACCATACGATTCACACGCTCACGATTCAGCCATACTTTGACTTTGAAGTTCCGTCTTTTTAAATCTTTCATAGATGCATATGAATAACAACATAATTGAAATCAGAAATGAGTTTTCCATTGTTCCCAAGACAGATTATTTTAACACATTCTTGGGGTTAATTATTCGTGCTATTTGCATTGAAATGAAAGCATTTTGAAAAAGAAGGTCTGAATAAAATGTTGTAAAAATAAAGAGACAGAAATGACAGACCCTCATGAAGGAAACTTGACAACCAGGAGAAAGTTACGTTAATTTTGCTCAATTTAAATTCAGAATATATCTTATTTTGTTATTAGAACAAAAAGCAATGTCATTATTTTTATAACAGGCAGATGCGCTCATATATAGAACAAGAACGCATGATAAACTTTGGGAAAATGAATGAAATACTTTAAAGCCAAACGTTAAACTAGGGATGTACGATCCTTCAAAAATAATTGTGCCACCGCCGCTTTGTTAAAAGGTAAGAAATGATATGCTGAGGTTAAAGAATTCACTAAGGAGAAATTTACGTACATTTTTAAAAATGTATACACATTTTTTCATTTCGCTGCACTCTATGTTTCATTTAAGCGCTTCATTTTAATCCTTAATAAAAAAAAAAAAAACAAAATCATAACAAAGTCGTGGCAAACATTGGGCAATGCCAATGCATGGAATGTTAATTCTTATCCCACATGTATCTCTCTAACAATAATGAGAAAAAAAATTCCTAGCATAGCATATTTTAAAAATTGTCAAATGAAACATTTGATGTTGATAAACACGTGTAAAGTATATGCTCCTCCAATGAAGATATACAAATGTCAAACATATGAAAAAGAAGGGATATATATAACAAAATGAAAATATGAAATTAATTTTTTACCTTCTCAAATGTGTTGTTATTTTAATATATTTACATACCATTTTTTTAGAAGCCAACGCTGTAAAGAGATTTAAAAAGATAAGATTCTTCATTCCTTTTGAAAATAGTAGAGTGTTGCACAGGGAAAAAAAACTTACCCTAAAAAGTAATAAGAATATACAGAAAATGGAAGTTCAGGGGAAGTTATTCATTGACATAGGGGCAAATTTGACTGATAGGATGTTTGATGGAGTTTATAGCAAGAAGAAGCATGCGAATGACCTGCAACAGTAACGAAAAGAGCTACGCATATTCGCGACTCGCTTTTGTATATGCGTATATTTATGCTCACGTTTCCTCACGTTTGCCCACGTAAGACATATGCGCGTACAAATGCATGACCACGCACTACCGACATTCCCCACACTGTCCACCGCATGTTCCACACAACAGCGTCTTAAATAGAGCCAAGAAGAACAATGTTGAGAAGATTATAATAACGTGCACCTGCCTGGAGGACATCGATAAATCCCTCAAGATCTGCGAAACATACGGTTCAATTTTATGTTTGTTATTATATAAAAATGAAAATGTGCTTGTGTCTTCCGTTGACTAATTTACCCCTTTCATTCATTTTTAAAACAGATCCGGATGGCAAGTTTCTTTTTCTTACTGCTGGCGTGCACCCCACAAACTGCTACGAGTTCATTGAAAAGAATTTCATGGAGGAAAAAGACAAGCAAGCAAAAAGGGAGTTTGAGGAATTTATTAACTATTTTAAAAATGTGAAATACGCGGCAGAGGAGAATCCCAAACGCGACGACGGCAGAGCGGAAGGACATAACGCAGATTCAGCTAATGATGAAATAAAAGACGAGGAAAATAAACATTCTAGTGAAACACAAGGGGATGTGCTCAAAATTCCTGGATTCGTGTATGACAAAAAGGAGCAAGATTATTTAGAGAAATTAAAAAATAAAATAACAGATCATAGCAACAGAATTGTATCCATTGGTGAAATAGGTCTAGATTTCGATAGGCTCTTTTTCTGCCCCAAATATATTCAAATTAAGTATTTTATATATCAGTTAAAATTAGTGGAAATGTTTAAACTACCCATTTTTCTGCACATGAGGAACTGTTCTGATATATTTTTTGAAATTCTGGACAAATACAAGCCATTAATTGAAGGCGTTGGAGGAGTAATTCATAGTTTTACAGACAGGGAGAAGATAATTGAAAAAATAAACACGTACAAAAATCTATACATAGGGGTAAATGGGTGTTCCTTAAAAACGGCTGAAAATCTAAATGCCGTGAAGAGAATACCTCTAAATCTTTTGCTGTTAGAAACAGATGCGCCATGGTGTTCCATAAAAAAAACACATGCCTCTTATCACTTCATTCAAGAAAAATATGAAAAACGGAATTACACAAACTTGAAAAAAATAAGAAATGTAATCCAATGTGACGACGAAACTATTTTTAAGGAAAGGAACGAGCCCTATAATATCGTGTAATAAAAAAAGAAAGAATATTGAACCCGTAAAGCCTTCACATGTCCATGTTTTTGCATATGCATGTAATGCCCGTTGCATCCTCGTTCATAATGAAAAACTGCTATGTTATGCTCCCCCGTGGAAAGCATTTCATCTCACATATGCCCATGAGCCATTTGCAAAAGTTACCCACCACTGTAAAAATAATTTTCCCTCTTGTGTGCATTTGCTGTGATGAAAAAAGGGATATATATCGCCACTCTTTTGCCTCGAAATTGAATTTTCGCAAGAGTCTTCTGTTTACATTTGCCGTTTCGCTATTTTCTTATTTTTCTCTGGGGGTAGCCCGTCCGTTCTCCCTGCGCACGTGCTAGGCGCCTACATAGATATGTACATACATAAATAAGTACACGCAGGCAAAGCGCAAATACATCTATGCAGCTACACGCGCGCATATATATATATAAAAATACCTGTGCCGCCGTGCACATGTGCGCTTATACTTGTGCGCGCCATTTGCAAATACCTTTTCGCAGGGATATAGCCGAAATCACATATAAAGTAAGGGGGTCCACCATCCCGTTCGATTCATTCTGCAACAAGTAAGCAATCGATCAAAATTTGTTCACTTTACTTTCGCTGATGTACATGCGAAAGTGTTAATGGTACATTGAAGATGCGCCTCCTGCATTGTGTACTTTTGCATAGAATAATTTTGCTACTAAATTGTGCAGTTTCCCCATTTCATCTGTTTTTTTTTTTTTTTTTTTTTTTTTTTTTTTTTTTTTTTTTTTTTTGCAATATGCATTATTTTTCTCAAATTAAGTTTCATCTTTGAAATGGTAAATATGAGCTTCACGCAGGGAGGAACATACCATGTTCTGCTGTAGGTTCATGTAGGGCATCCCCTCATATATGCATATCTTATTTTTCCTTTCTTTTCCTCCTTTTTTCCCCCCTTTTTTTAATGTATCATGTTAAAAAGAGTCCGATGCAACACCCTAAATCTGTTCAAAAAGCTGCGGTAAGAAATTTCATTTGGTGATGTACACACGGATATATCTTGACCCAGGGGGAACGAAATTGCCTTTTAAATCGTGCGGAGGAAAACAAACCAAGGAAGGAAAAAAAAAAAAAAAACGAGCCCCAATACATAGCAAGTTACAATCATCAAGGAGTACATCACACCGAATAATATGGAGAACACTAAGAAGACAAAAGCGGACACGGTGAAGGCACATTTAGAAGCGGTAAAAAAAAAAAAAAAAGAACCCATCCCGAATTTCATGTTCTCTAAATAGTCACCATTTCAATGTGGATCTTAACAGCTTCGTAGATGGACATCCTGTTTTGCCGTGCTCACCTTTTCTTGTCCTTGATTCCATTTTTAACGACAGTTGTAATCATCTTTTTCTTTTTGTATATCTACTTAAACATGCTACCTCCAGATTGAGCAGTGCAAGGAAAAAAAGGAGAAGTACGTAAAATGTTTTAATAACTGGTATAAGAATAATTTCCTCAAGGGTGACCTAACGCAAGCATGCGATGACTACTATGAGGACTATCAAATTTGTGTCCTGGTAATGATTTGCACAAACAGTTTCGAAAGCGCATCGTTTGAATGAGCCCACGTTTTTCTACGCCTCATGTGTGCGTTGTGATGCACCCTTTGCGGACGCACACACTGATGCATGCGCTTCTGCTTCCGCTTCTGCTTCTGAGCGGGTGGACATGATCCGTTCTTTTTTTCTCCCTGCAGAACGATCTTAATAAGAAGGGGTTGGGGCACCTGACGAATTTGCCCAAGGGGAAGTGAGCGAGGTGGACGCAGCGTCACACGGGAAAAAAAAGATTTTGGCTTCTCGCTAGGTTAAGCTTAAACCCATTTGTCGTACACGTTTTAATCATACACTTTTGAATCCTACACGTTTGCCTACACGTTTGCCTACACGTTTGCCTACACGTTTGCCTACACGTTTGCCTCTTTTTTTTTATCGTGTTTATCCCCCCCTGATTTTTTACAGCGATTGGTCATTTTGTCACGCGGCCTATTTGCTCACCTTTTTCCTTTGGGGGTCGCTGGCCGCCGCCGCACCTTCCACGGCGAATTGTTTTAGAAAACAAATTGAATGAATTTTTTTTTTTGTTCTTTTGTTATTTTGCTATTTTGCTAATTTAATAAAAATTTAAAAGGGAAAGAATGCATTCGCAAACGAGCAATATGTAAAGTTTGCGCCACACTGGCGCGAGTTTCACACGAGGCCCTCGAGACCCTGACGCAACGTCTAGATATATGTATGCGCATTATTATTAAAATTACGATAATAGAATTAAAACTGAAGGCATGCACAATTGCTTGAAAAAGGAGAGAGCTACATATGTTAATAAATAATCACACATAAGTAGTTAAAATGAAAGTTAACGGAAGTGCGCTGGTGAAGGTACAGATGAATTAGGTATCAATGAGAGTAGACAGAAATAAAGACGGGAAAAAGGTTCAAAGTTGTAGAAACAAGGGGAGAGGAAAAGCATAAACAATGAACATGTGGAAGAAAAAAACAAGGATCTCGAGTGAAAAATTTAAACAAACAGACACACAATGTGTCCAGTTAAAAAAAAAAAAAACACAAAATTAAGAAATAATTAATTAATTCTTTACAATAAAAGAGGGGGGAGAGGGGAAATAACAATAATTATAATGATAATAATAAAAATAATGATACTGCTAGAAATAACGCTAATAATGACGGTAATGATTTTTTGACGATTCGGATGAGGACGAAGTGGGAGGCAGGTGCTAGGGTGGAGACACTGGGAAAGAATAGGCTTAGCCCAATTAAAAATGTTTTTTTTTTATTTATTTTTTTTTTTTTAAAAAAGTTTACTTTGTCTACTAAGAGCTGTGCTTAAAACGTCGGGTTCATGGTAAGCTCCCCTTTTTTTGGGTCCTATTTGAACGGATTAACCTCAACACAGGGGACATCACACGGGACATCAGTAGGATTTAACATTTTTGCATGCTCCGACACGTGTACAGGCGGCCATGCTACGGTGTCTGTGTCTGTCTCTCTCTACATATATATATCTGCATGCTCATAAAGTTGCTCATTTGGGGAATACTTCTCATTGTGCACTTTGCCCGTTGATACCTAGCCAAAAAAGTTGTGCGCTTCCGTTTGCCAACACTGTTCTGCTTGTCCAATGGGTATAATATCTTTCCTTCTGAATTGCATTTCCCATCACCGTCATCATATTAGCATCGTGAAGGGGATGCTCCTGGACGGGTCTATATACACGTGCTGTTTCTGCTATTTTCAAAATGTTCATTCGTATTATTTGGATAGAAAAAATGCTTCCTATAATCTCTGTTCTTCATTACATAATCAAATTTATTTCTCCTTTCGGCATTGTCTACTCCGTTTAGTTGATTACTGCCAAAATTCTTTTCTCCATGCATTTCGTTGTTTATTCCATTGTTAGGAAAGCCTTCCATGGGGTACCCCATATTATAGTCATACATAAAATCCGGGTACCCATTACTGTACTGCTGATTGTACATATGGAGGGGGTAATAC